CCTCTAAATCCTTCCTCCTCTAAACTTTACCCTGAGGTGGCTCACAAATGGTGTGCTGCGTTGGAACTGCACCTTCCCGCATGGCTCACAAAAGGTCTGCGGACCGGTGGACCGGCACCTTTCTCTCCGCCCTCGGTGGCTCGCAATAGGTCTTTTACAATGCAACGGCACCTTCCTCCTCCTCTAAATGTTACCCTCGTTGCAAAGGCACCTTCCTCCTCTAAAGGTTACCCTGAGGTGACCCGAAATTTTATCCTTGGAATGGACACCTGACAAAAGGTCTGCTACAGTACGTTGGAATGGCCCCCCCCTCCTTGTCTGAAGTCTGCCCTCGGGTGGCTCCCTCCACCCTCCTCTAAATGTTTACCTTTGAGTCGCCCACTAAAGGGTCCGCCTCCAAAGTTTACTCTTGGGTGGCTCACTAAAGGTCTGCTATGTTGGAATGGCGCCTTTCTCTTCTGAATGGCACCTGCCTCTTCTCAATTCTATTCCAGCTGGCTCACAAAAGGTCTGCTTTGGCATGGCTCCTGGGTCTTCTAATTTGAGTCCCGGGCCTACAAAAGAACTGCTACGTTGGCACCTACTTAACTTCTTGCTTTAAGTTTGGCTCTTGGCGGCTCATAGAAGGTCTGCTACGTTGGAATGGGGCCACTTGCAGCAGCACAGAGTCTTTACAGCAAGCAGCATAGCATTGGAAGCTGGCCACTTGCGGAAACAGTTGCAGCGTTTCAAGCTGCCTATTTGCAGTTGCAGAAGCGAAAGCAAAGGCAGAAGCAAGAGAAAATGCAGAAGCAGAAGCAAAGCAAAAGCAAATGCAAAAGCAGAAGCAGGAGCAAAAGCAGAAGCAAAACAAACTCGAAAGGAATCCCCATAACCCAACAAAAACACCCCAGAGAATAACCGGCCCCCCTTTGTTTACGCAATTTGATTTGAAGAACATGTTCATGTGCACATCGCTTAGGAGGGGCAAGGTCTAAGGTTGTGAATGGAGTGAGCAGTACATGTGTTTGCAAACAGGTTGCTAGCACTGAGTGTGCGTCCGCGTGAGTGCCGCTGTGCTGAAAACATTTGGACCTGCTACTTCGAAGGTTGAAAGCTGGCCCACGCCTTCATGGAAAAGCGTATGATCATTACAATGGCTGTGGAGCAACTGGCTTCACACAGTCGGTGCACCTGGCGCCTGAGAACGATGGCACCAGGGCTCCCTTGGCTTTTGTATGCTGGCTGTGGGGTTGTTGATGGCTGGGTGTTTTGAATGAATGCTGGCTAAGTGCAATGCTGCCTGTCTCTGTGCCTGGCTACTGACGGCTGCTGATGACGTCATCACTCTCATGCGCTGGGTGTTGGATTGCATACAGTCTTGGTTCTCTGAGACTCAGGGGCCCTGGATTGTGGGACCAGTGGCCGAAGTTGCAGTTCAAGACTGTCAGAACTTCTGCGCGACTTGCATGCATGTGGTTTCTGCTGTGACCGCAATGAGTAGGGTCATTCATTTGTTTGTGAGGCCTTCACTGCTGAGGTGCAAGAACAAGACCTACAATTTGTTCGCTGTGAAGCTGGAAATGCACATGCAATTAGAGATCTCGTTCCTAAGCTGTGTGTAAGGACTAGCATGAATGAGTTTAATGTAAGGACTGCCATGCATGATTTTCACTTCACAGTTCTTCCTTTGCTAGGCTGTGGATGGTGGACCAGCTCTCACGTGGTGGGCAAATGGTCTTGTCACCACCTTGTCTTAGCGTGGGAGTTCATGTGTGCCATGTCTGACTGTAAATCGTGAGCTTCAACCTCTGCCCAGGCTACAGCACATGGCAACATGAAAACTACATTGGCAGAGTTGCCTTGCTTAACTTATTGCTTAACTTACGGGGTCACATGTGGAAGCAGTTTCATGGGCAGGCTCTTATTGGGCGTGCTTGTTCACTTGGCCCTAGGTTGCACGCATGTCCCGTTGTGCTCACAGCTGGACCATTGTGGTTCGATCATGCGTCGTGCTTTGATGCACTACAAACGCAAGTGGCGTCAGCAAGGATGGTTGCTTTGAGGGTCCAATGAAAAAGGTGCGCTTACAAGGCTCTGGGACAGGGGTTGCCCTGCATGTGCTGGGTATTGCATGCAAGTGCACATGTGACATGATGGTGGTGGTGCACCCAAGATACCAGAAAAAATGTATCTCTATGTTATGTTTATATAAACGTTTTGCCAGCATCACATGCATGTTTTAAGATGTTATAAATGTTATGTTTGGTGTATCTTGAAACAACATGTCATTGGCAATACCATGGACTACCACCGTGGCAATCACAAACGCACATATATATATATATATATTTGTTTGTTTTTTTTTTCAAGCCCAAGGTCGAGCACTTTTTTGAAAGTGGTCTGCAAATAATGTGGCACACCTTTTTGCGCACCAAAGGAGTGTACAGGCTTACAATACAGAGATATCTTAGCATCACACGGTTTTTTGTTTGTCACTTGGAAACAACATCTCCTCGTCTTGGCTTCCTTCGCGACCTGCCGGAAGCCTCCGACCATCTTCTCCAGCACCGCCGTGTGTGGCACCTGGAGGTGAGGACGCATTGATGGCGAACCCGCTGACAGAGCCTCTAATAATCTCCAATACATGGGCAAACACGGCTTGTTCACCTGGTTTCCAGCATCGGTTTAAGGGAACAACTACAGGAAACATGAGTACGTTCGGATGTTCTTTTTTCTCCCCCACAAGTATGGCTTTGGAAACCAAGCAATTCTGGATCACAGTCCCGGCCGATTCACAAGCTCCGCTCGGCCTGGAAGATGAAAATCATCCATACAAAATAGCCCAAACACTCCCTGGTTTATTTGAACCGAACTGAGGTGGTTGAACGAGGTCTCCCTATTTTAAGACACGACCCTGTCTGGGACTGCCAGTCCGGACTGCCGCCCCATGGCCCCCGATTCAACCACCGCTGGCAGTTTCTCGGCAGTCCTATGGCCGTCCCATGGAGTGTTTGGGTAGGGAAGGAGGCAACTGGACAACCCCTAGACTCACTAGACAGGCACCCATCAACATGTTGTTTCCTGAGAAACTGAACTTATAGTTGCACCCACCAAAGAGATGTTTAAAGCGATGCAAACATCAGAACAAATTCAACAAACTCCCGCCAGTATCACCCATCATTGAACCTTAAACAACCGATGTCGACCAAACCAAACACGATGTCGACCTGTCGACAGGACCACCGAATTCACGTCAGAATTTTGCTGAAAGAAGCGCCCCCACGACCGGCTGTTTGGATTCCGGCCTGTTGCAAAGCATATGCCTTCACCACATACGGTGAAGCTGCAGCTTGCAGCATCTCGAACTCGTGGCTGGCAGTCTGATTCAACTCACCCTTCCAAGAAAGCTCCTCGCATGTGGCGCCCTGCGCGCATGTTGCGCCCAGGAGCCCAGCGATCTCTCAACCCCCAGAGGTTCAGGACCGATAGGTTCGACATGGTTCGACCTATCCCAGTGGGGTACCACAGATGACCGGGGTCCAGGTCACTAGGTCGCCACCGAAACTCCGCCCACCGTGGCCGGGCCGACGTCCTGGTAGAACTTGCCCACCGTGGCCACGGATGGAGTCTCTAAGCCTCGGGGGCGAAGTGTCACGACGTGAAAAACCTCTGGGTATGACATCAACTAACCCAAGTGGGCTCCAGGACCGTACCTTCGTTTCGAAGGTGGGACTGAGGTGGGTGCCAGGAGGGTCCAGTCATACCTTCTGACGGAACTTTTAGCCTTTTGGGTGTTTTTTTCAGGTAAAGCAATCCCAAACACGACTAATGGGACTGCCATAGGACTGCCGAGTTTCACGGCCGTTCGGGGTGATTGAATCGGTGGTCTGTCTGGGGCGTCAGTCCGATGCATGGCAGTCCCATTAGTCATGTCTGGGAATCAACCACCTCCAAAGCCCGTGAGGTTTGAGGTTTGAAGCGACCGATTCGTTTGGCTCCAAGTTCTGAACTTGTCGTGGCAGACGGTGGCTCGGTTCCTTTTCTGTTCCGGAAGACGTCAGGTACGGTCAGGTACGGTCAGGGTGGCCATCTTTCGGGGTCCGCTCTGGCCAGACGGCCAGGACAGGAATACTCAAGACTCCAGCGCTTCAAGAATAGATTCAGCTAGACTGCCGATAAATGGAGCATGCATCTTCTTCTCGAAAAGTACACACACTAAGTCACTATAACATACTATAACAATATAACATAATATAACCCTAGGGCTCCAACTACCTCCTTTTCGATGCTTGGAGTGGGTACCAGGGGGTCGAATACCACCTGAGCATGGACAGGAGCCCAAACGGGTACACTACACAGCCTGAAGTGGCTGGAAGGAGCCGGTTCCAGCTGGATACCATGCTTATCCACCTGGTCTCTGCTACCGGTGCACAACTGTCAGTGGTGACTTCCTCCATCCAAACCGCCCATCCATCCAAACTGCCCATCCAGACTGCCAAGCCACTGCATTCCATCACCTTGGCCTGTCCTCCATGCCCAAGCAAAGCGCCCAGGTGCACAGCTCCCACGCGGTCCACTTCGATGACGCACTCCATGTGGCAAAAAGGACGGCCTCGCCTCTAAGGACTCTTGAGCCAAGACCTGCAGGCAGAGGGTGTGGCAATCCACGTGGAATCATCCGCTGGTTTCACGTCGTGGGTTTGGCAGGACGGCAATGCACCCGCGTGACGAGTCCATGACGAGTCTTCCAACCCGAAGAGCCCAAAGGCTCAGAAAGGGCCATCAAAAGACCCTCATAGCTGAGGTTCTGACCCTCACAACTAGGGTGAAATGGACCGAAAACATGTAGTTTGAGGGTTCAATGATCCCATGGCAGGTAAGATGTTCTGAACTTTCGGGCCACTTGAGACCTGAAGATGAACCAAGCGACCTCGGCTGGTCTGGACGTCGGCCACGTCGGCCATGAACACTCAGCGACAATCCCACCATGTGACGAGGTCGACTGCTTGCTCAGTGGCGTTGGGAAGTGGGCAGTCATGGCAGCCTCTGGCCTCCAGGGAATGCTGGGACAGGATCGGAAGAGCATCCATCCATAGGAGTAGATTCTCTGCTTGAAGCGTGACCCAAAGCAGGTTGGGTTGGGCAATTTCGTTTCCGCTCCGCTCCCAAACTGTTTCTGGCACAGGCACTCCCTAGCTCATGTTCAACTATTGTTTGTGTTCATGGATGCACCTGCCCACAGAAAACACATCTTCGCTCTGCCAGCAACATCCAAAAATATCGCTCTGATGCACCTGCAATTAAAACCTTGTGTTGCGACAAACAGGTGCTGAACTCATTTCCTTGATTTTCATTCAGGTGTTGCTTAAAACGCCACTCGTTTGTGTTTGCTGGGTCCACTGGGCTATCTGACCTGCGATCAGGCGCGCCAGGCGTGAGGCCATCTGAGTGCGGGCCGCAAAGAAAACATGGCGCATTTCACCAATTCGATGATCTACATAGGACTTTGAAACCACTGTAGGTAGGGGGTGATGTAGGTGATCTACATGTCCTGCATTAGGTGAACAAACCACTCTACAAATTAGGTGACCTACATAGACCCTGAAGAAGGAAGAAGGTCACCTTTAGGTGATCAACATCGTCTATGAAGACCCTGAAAGGTGATCTACATGTCCTTAAAGGACCATCTTAAAGACTCTGAAAACCACTCTCAACAACTGTAGGGACTGCGTGGACACGTCACTGCTAAAGTGATGCTATTCAAACTCTGCACCGCACCATAAGCTCATGTGGACCAAACACTGTTAGTAGGATCCGAAACTGGATCCAAACAGTTAGGTGTGCAATCCCCAGAGTATCCAAGCATATCAACACATTTTTAAACCAACATTGGTTGCACAAGTAGAAACCGGGCAAGTGGGGGACCGAAACTCCACCATCCAATGAATGCAAGGTCGACTCTGATGCAGCCAACCGACACGGGCGCGCATGCATCACGCCGCATGTATGACACCCAACGGGAGTATACAGCACCATTCTCACCATGATTAACTGCATTACTTGGAGTTGCTTAAAGAGCTGGGAACCAAAACACGTGACAAGAAGAGGACATATACCCACGGGGAAAAACAAAATGACCCTATACGTAAGCAAAACCAACAAAAATACCGCTACTGTGCCATTGTTACTTACTCTACTGTTGCATGTCTGCTGTTTGCGCTACTGCTTATGTGCAACTGTCATTTATGGCATTGTCACTGCGAAGCTGTTGCTGCTTGTGTTTCTGCTTCTCTGCAACTGTTGTCTACGCACCTGCTAACTGTTCCTTGCGTCACTGCTACTTACGCTACAGTATTGCTGTGCAACTGTCATCTGTGTGTCTGCCACGGTGCAGCAAATACCTGAGCGACTGCTACTGCGCGAACTGCTCCTCAATCTACTGTTGCTTGCGTCACTGCTAAATATGCTATGTTTGTTGACATATTACTTAAACTGTTACCGCGCAACTGTTACTTTTGTTTCTGTTACCGTGCAACCGCTTGAGCTACCGCTACTGTCAAATTGTTACATAGTCTACTATTCCTTACTTCACTGCTACTTACGCTACTGTTGCTGTGGAAACTTATTGCTTACAGTGCAACTATTACTTACGCTACTAGTACTGCTGATATACAACTCTGGCCTGCCCTACTGTTATACTGTGGAACTGTTACTTAGTCTACTGTTGCTTACTTCGCTGCTACTTAGGCTACTGACTGTTGCTGTGCAACTATTGCTTACATTACTGCTAGTGTGCTGTTACTTTCTAAATGTAAAAAAAACCATCTACTCAGCATGTTTTTGATCGAAATGCGCATGTGTCCACATTGTCCACATACAGTTCGATCCAACGACCTCACGTCGAACGTCCGTCTTGCGGAGGTGAATGGGGGCAAATCTGGGTCTGTCCGGTCTGGTTGGGCTTTCAGTGATGGCCTCACTTCTTCACTTGAAGTGAGAAAGAGGCACAAAAGGGGCTGTTTGGCTAAGCAAGCCTCTCACCAACCATCTAAACAGCAAGTGCTTGAGCGCACAAGCTAGCTGCTAGCTGAAAGTAGTGTTCTGCTGGACACCCCGAATCGAAGCCCACGGCTATATTTCCCAATAGCAAGTGAGCGTACGATTTGCTTTGGGGGCGCAACAAGCTTCAAGGGAAGTGTTGCGACACTCTGTTGCACCGGAGAACACCCCAAACCAAGCTCCTGCTAGTTTTGACTTGGACACCCCACTGGTCAAGGCAAAGGCATCAGCCCCTACCTCGGTACAAAGGCTTTGTCGCGTCGGCGAAGAAACATGGCTTTGCAAGGCTTAAAGAGAATGGTCACACAATGGCGTGGCTATCTTCCTGCGTGAGTAGCTGATTAAATTGGTATCTGAAGCCAACCCGCCTGGAACTGCAATGTTCCACGAAGGTGCTTGGACATTCCCAGCATCGACGTTATGCAACCAACCAACACACTCCAGATAAATGACGTAGGGTATGAATACCATATGCCACATAGTAGCATAGGTGAAAAGTGAGAAGTGTGCTTAGAAAACCAGCAAGTCCAAAACACCGCTCTGTCACACTAGACTGAGGTTCTCCCAAACACCGTTCAGTGAGTGAAAGTACTGAAGTTCATACACTCCTTTGTTTTCATTGAAAATCCGACTTGTAGAGTTGGACTGACCACCGCTTCACCAGTGGTGAGTCCGTCTTCGTTGGTCCAAGAGGACAACTCACACCTCTTTGCTTTAAAACCAGAAGGCTCCTTGTGCCTCCGAGGGTTACACTCTGACATTGGTTTTCAGTTAACTCAATTCCCAGGAAAAATGGCGATGGAACGGAAAGGTGAAAGAGTCGGCGCATTTGAAAAGTTTAACATATTGTTCACGTGTCTGCAGATCGATCAGCGCGGCTGCACATCAACGGTGGAAAAAGGGTTTGTGGGGAGCAGCATGAAACCACTATGGAATCAAAGAGCAAAATTGGACAGCGTGTTCAACAGTTCCAAATTGTCGCAGGTACACACGGGTGATCAATCCGTGCTTCCCACTCCAAGGCATAGCTTCGTTGCACTGAGTTTGCCAAGGAGTGCTCAGTGCCCCTGCTTGTGAAACTGTGGTGATTGTGAAGGTGGTGGTGAACCCTTCGGGACAGGGGTTGACACACACAGGTCGCCGTGATCGGCGCTTTTTCCTTTCAAAAACCGGCTGCAAGCAATTGGGTTGTGTCCTTTTTGGACGTAGAGCTTCACTAGCTCAGTGGCAGCAGCGTCAGCGCTTGAAGGTGGAAAGGTGTATTTAAGGATGGTGTGAAGTCTGGATTGGAGGCCTCACAGAGCCAAGCGGTGGCTCCCGGCGCTAGTTGCATCCCTGATTTTCCAGGGTTGTAGAGGTTGAATGTAGGTGATAGTCCGTTGTTGTAGGTCAATGTTGAAGCCCAGGAGGTGGAAATCGTCAACTGGTTCAAGTTCCACTGGGTCTCCAAAGAAGTTGTGATGGATGAGGGTTTGTATGGCTGGGTGGTGGAGGAAGTGTTCGTTGTGGACAATGAATCTGTTGTCAACATATCGGTAGTATGTAAAGTGCAGGTCAGTGTGTTGGAGTAGATTGTTGTGGATCTGGTGCCAGGAGTGTTCAATGAGGGTGATGGCGACGTTGCATAGGGCTGGAGAGAGTTGGGATCCAATCCCAGCCCCTCGGTTTTGTTTGTAAGTGTTATTGCATGCACGGAAAATGCAGGTGTCGAGTGCGTAGGCGACAATGGTGGTAATGTCGGAAGTCTGGATGGTACGTTGTGTGGGGTGTTTTTGGTGATGTCGGCCGATGTGGGAGTGGTGGAAGGGGTTGCCTGTTGCTTGAACGTCCACTGTGAGGGTGTGTGTGCATTGTTGTGTTTGCCAGTGGTGAATCATGGAGTGGACTGCATCGATAAGACGATGCTGGGGAACCGAGTTGAAGAATCCCACCAGGTCGTCGTTGGTGGCGTACAGTGAGATGCCTGGATGCTGTGGGTGGAGGTGTTGGAGGATGATGTCAAGAACACGGCTGGTGATGCGTAGGAGGTTGCCACTGAGTGAGTGGAAGTAAGAGATAATGGTGCGGCCTTTCTGCCACTGTTTTTTCTCTTTGAGGTGGACCACACCATATGGGATGTTGAAGTCTTCGCGGAAGCCCCACTTGTAGCGGGTGCGTAGTATGGGGGGAACAGTGGCTTTGAGATGGTCGTGGATGTTGGCGGCTGTAAGGTATGGAAGTGGTTCAAAAAGTTCGGGAGATTGCCGAATGGCCAAATGTTTGTGTTGCTGAATGGTGGTGCGGAGCCACTGTTGCCAGTGTTTTGTGAAGTCGTCGTGCGCCAGGAAAGGCACTGTGAGCGGGATGTTTGGTTTGGGTGGTGTAAGATTGCGGAAAAGGAGGGCTTTGTTGATGATGTGGAGAGCTCTGCTGCGGCCTGGTTCTTCAAGATTGGCGGCCATGCGCCTGATGGCGTAGACTTCCAGGTCTGTATGGCGGCCGCTGCGCAGTTGTTTTGCTCCTTCAAAGGAGGCTGCCGTATGTTTGGTGAGGTTGCGGAGGAGTGTGAGAGCGTGGTGTTTGGTGGAAGTGTAAAGGTGTGGTTCTCTGATGGTCTGTTGGCGTAGTCGTAGTCGTCGAAAGAGACGTTTGTGAGTGGCCAATCTGGAGTAAAAATGCGCTCGATGTTTGGTGAATTGCCAACCTTGGGCTTTAAGCTTGAGGTGGTGTGAGATGAAGGGCCAGTTGAGTGTAGGCATCCAGTTGGCAATGTGATGGTGTTCTTGGTTCGAGGCCTGATCGTAATTGTCGTGGGATGTGAGCTGAATGGTGGTGTAGTGGTGAATGTTGTTGTGGGAATGCCAATAGCGTAAGGAGAGTTGCGCTGAAACTGGGATATTGTTCTGGAGTTGCTTGAGCTTGGCTCTGCGGTTGTGTTCTCTGTGTGGAATGCCAATGGCTGTGGAGCCGACATAGAAGTGGCCATGCTGGTGGCAACAACGATGTGGTGGAGTGGGGTTGAAGTAGAGGTTGATTTAAACGGAGTTTTGGGAGAGAAAGTTGTGGTAGTGGTAGGTATGTGGAAGGATGTGGAGCTGGCGGAAGCGGTTGCGCCACTGTTGAGATCGGTGTGTTGTGGATGGATATGCAAAGAGTAGGGTGATGTGGATCAGGCCGGTCGCAAAGATGGCCTCTGCTCGTTCAATGTATTGGGTATGATGGATCAAAATGGATACGGCGCGGTGGAGGTGAAAGAGGTGTTGCATGGTGGTATGGCTGGGTTGCTGCTGGCTGAGAATAGCGAGTCAGCAGCCAATGGCTGCACCTACGCTGACCAGTTGTTGCAGGCTGTGGATGGGCAGGCGGTTGACGCGACCGAGAGGGAGGCCATAGCGAGTGGCTGCCTCCTTCAATCTTGACGTCTTTGTAGAAAGCCTGGAAATGCTCCCAGGCCACTGCACGGAATTTCGGCTTCTTCCAACCAAACCAAGCATGGGTACAACGGAAATCATCGATGTAAATGCACCATGAATCATACATCTCGTCGGGCCACTCTTCATTCAATGGCAAAGACCATCTGCCACATTCGAAAAGAAAACGCATGCACTGGAAGGTGAGGTGTAGCCTCGGCAACCATTTTGATTCAGGTGTCTGTTTGGGTTTGGCTTCTGAAGCTTCCGAAAAACCAGCAGCAGAGCTGGCAGCAGAGGCTTCAGTCCTTCCGGCCCCACTTTTTTTTTGCAGCTGCGTTTGCCTGCTCTGCCGCCTGCATGGCACCATAAAGGACTTGATCCTTGAACATGCCCTCGAGTCTGTGCATGTCGGCAGCTGTCAGCCGAAGCTGTCGGTGCCACTGCAAGGCCCTCGCAGGGGCTGTTCGATGTTTTGCTCGTTGACCGAAGCTTGCATCTGGTTTCCATGCAGAGATAATGTTGAACATCATTGAAAACAAGTATATCAGTGCTCCCCACACATCCTTCTTCCGAAGCGATTGAAAAAAGCGTTTCACCACCTGGAAATCAGCTTGTGGCTCGGAAAAACAATCCGGCGGGGACTTGTAAAATGAAAGAGCTTTTGCCTGATTGTGCCTCCTGGCCCTCAACATGTTTGCTCTCCTCAGCTTTTTTTTCTGAGGAGCCTCTGGACCCGTGACGTCTGCCGGGGGTGGAGGCGGTAATGCCGAAGCCTGGCTTGAAGACGCCTCCCTGTCAGAGACTTGCACACGCCCAGGCGGTAGGGACACTGAGCTTTCCTGAATTCTTTTTTTCTTTGGTGCCATGGCGGTAGACAAACCTACCCCTGGAACACTACCATTTACAATTATGAAACAATGCCCAGCTGCAACTGTTGTCCTCTGTCGGCTAAGAGCTTGTGCAAGACGCTGCCAGCATGCACTGCTCTCCACCCAACGGCCGTGGTGATCTCAGGCGAGAGCTGCCACAACTGTGGCTCACTAGTTGGAGAGCCCACAGCAACCTGCAAGCAAACTAGTTCATAATCCATAGGTGATTCTTGGAACAGACAGGCCTCATCCACCTTCGAGCGCAGCCACGCAGCAAAGCCAGCAGGAACTGAGGAACCCCATGACTGATTCAGCCACTCTTCAAAGGCTGAAAGCCACCCTTCCTCAGGATGAGCTGGAGGGACATCAAGCTCATCAGCTGCCATCACCACATCATTCATCTCAGCAGCCGTCATGTGCCCTTCGACTGTGCTGTCTCAAGTCTGGAGCCACTGTGGGCGCGATGTCTCAAACCCATGAAACCTAGGGTCTGCTTACGGCCGGCGGTCGTAAGCAGACCTGGTCCTTGGATGGATGAATGTCGACCTCAGATCCTGCCTGAACTTGTTTGGAGCCAATGGGGGAAGGAAAATCAAGAGTGTGTTCCGGTTGTACTGGAGTGTTGACTGTAGGGGTGGGGATAAGGTTGACGTACTGCCAGCGCTCATGGGGTTGCTTGTTGGCGGCGGCAGTAAGGGTGGGTGACGTGGTGCTTGAGATGTTGGCAGTGGTGTTTGAAGATGTAGATTGCTCTGTGTGGGGAGTGGCTGGGATACCTGCGAAAGCTGGGTAGTGGACAATGGCATTGATGTCAGTCTGGGCGTGTCGGCTGTGAGTATCTGGTCGTGGGGTGGTCTGTTGTGATTGATGGAAGCTTGGGGCTGTTATGTGTGTGTCCAGAACGGAGATCCATGGTGAAGTTGTCTGTGTGGCAGCATGCTGAATGGCAGTGTCGCTGCTGGAGGCGGTCGGTAGTGGGTATCGTCTGAGTGGTGTGATGTTGCTGGGTGGTGAAGCTGCCTGGGGGTTGATGTGCTGTTGGTCTGGTGTGAAGAAGTTGGGTCAGTAAAGTAGGCCGCTGGTGGAAAGCGAGCCAGGGCGTTGAGGGCAAGGCGTGTGTGGTGTTGTGCTCGTTGCAGGTTGCTGTGGTAGATGGCAATGATACGCTGGATGGGTTGCGGTAAGGTGTCAGTGAGTGGCTGATGGCCAATTGGGCTTTCTGTGAGAGCTGTATGAGTGGTAAGGTGCTGATGTAGGAGAAAACGGTGGATGTGGAGGTCTGTCAATACACCCATTAGGGCGTGAGGTGGGTCGAGAGTGTATACTTCAGACCAAAAGGATTGGTCAGCTGAATCTGTGTGAGGTGGTGCCGGAGAAGCCGCTGGAGGTGGAGAAGTTGCAGGTGGAGAAGTTGCGGGTGGTGGTTGGTTGTCAGCCGCATCTTCTGTGAAGACAAAAAGGACTTCTGATTGCTCGTCGCACTCCGGAGTGTGGTCCATCGTAGATCCGTTGATGTGAAAAGGCTCGAAAAGTAGGGCGAAAGAAACTTAGTTACCACACAAGCTGAAAATGGCTGCGGTGATGGAGGATAAATATTGGTAAACACAGGTAGTGTAGTGTAAGGTTGGAGTGTCGTGAACAGCCACAAGGTGGTATTGTTGTCTTTTTGGACTGTGAAGAGTCGGTAGGTTGGGTGATGGTGAAACGTGAGGCTGTGAGACGTTAGCGCAAGGGCACTCAGTTAGCGGGACGCCATCTCGACGGCAGCAGCGGCCGCAGCTTGTCGGGCAATGCGTAGTATGGCGTCGTGCAGGGTGGCAGCTTGTTGATCCGTCAATGGGGTGTCAGGGACAGACGCCCCGTTGAGGGGGGGCATGACAGCCAGCATCGTGGCCAACGACCACACCATCCTACCTGGAAAGGTGGATGCTTAAGCCGCACATGTGAGCGCAGACAAGAGAGAATGACAAGACGTTTCTCAGGACATGAAAGAGACTCCGTCTTTGATCAGCATCGCCGCCTGACCGCGTCCTGAACAGCCTTGCCGCTGTGGTCGACATGGCTTCTGCTGCTTTGCGCACCGTGCCACCGAGGACGCCTTCTGGAAGTTCGCCCGATCACGCCCGGCTTTTACAGCTTTTCGTTCAGCAACTGCATTCTGAAGCAAACTTCTCGGCCCGTCTGAGAACACGCTCACCGGTCTCCTTCTCGGTCAAACGCTCACCGGTCTTCTTCTTCGTACTTCAAAGAAGTCGCCGCGTCGACTTATATAAGTGTGTAACCGGTATACGATGACCAAAAGAATGAATTGATCGCATTTCATACATCGCAAGCTGTCGTCATTTTGCTATGCTTCGGGGTAAATGGCTGCATACCGTATACTCAAACAGTGTCAAACAATGTGCCATGGACTAGGAATACCATGGAATAACCTTTCTGGAAGAAAATGTATAAGAAATCACCCAGGCCCAGCGTTGAGCGTTTATATTCGTTGACCCCTACTAAGTTTGCTCTCATCTACCACACAGTAGTTTTCAGGGTCCATTGCCGGCCTAGTGGTTGATCACATGCTGCACTGGCTAACATGATAGCGCTCCCCTCGACCAGACGACGGTCGTCGACCTTTGGCGCGCCACGGGTTGATCCTTCTTGTGGCCGCAATATCGACAGAACAGCGAATCCTCCGGACCGTCGCGCTCGATGCCGCGGGTTCCCCCGCGGCGCTTCCGACCGCGACGGAAGGACATGAAGACCTGACTGACACAAAAAACACATGTTCCAGAACAATAGCCAGAAACCAAACAGGCGAAACCACTTGCCAGTGGCTGCGTAGACTAAAATGGGATGTTTGGAATGTTGATTTGCGACGACTGTCTTGCACTACTTCTAGGCCTTGCCAACTACAGTATATGGGCCGACATGTTCACGTTGAGACAAACATTGTCGAGATTTCTCGAGTACTGACAGGGCAATCCAAATGACACTCTACTATATATTGCATGCACAAGAAGCTCCTGTCATGACATGTTCCATACTCCATCCCCACTAGGGCTAGGGTGGTTATAGGCTATAGGGCTAGCTTTCTCTTACACTATAGGCTATAGTTACTAAATCCCCAGCAAGAAACTGGACTTGGCCGGGCGTACGAGTCGGGAGTCAATTGTCCTCTTCTCATGAGCCTGGCTGGGGGGAAAACATCCAACGAGCCGGCGTCCGCCACCGAAGCGCGACCGCTTGGACCAACAAACGTTTCGCGCGGGTTCCGCGTGGCGCGCGCGCGCGCGGAACGCGCGGCTCGCGCTGCTGGTCCATCTGGATGCTCTTGCCGCACTTCAAACAGGTGAGGCTTGCCTGCGCCACAAGAGGGAGGTGGGACTCCGGGACGGAAAACGATCTCCTGAACCTTCCAGGAGTGGGCTTGGGCAAAAAATTAACACCCAATTGGCAGGTGGGTGCCTCGTAGAGTGAGCCGCCGAAGTGCCCAAGGGCAGCGGGATCGGCGAAGGTGCCGAGGGGAGCACCCCACCTCGGCCACGGGAAGGCATCGTGCAAGGCAAGAACATGGCGCCTTTGAGGGAGGCCAAGATGGTGATCACTTGGCAAGTTGGTTGTTCAAAAAACAAAGAACAATTATGATCAATTATGAACCAATACAAAACAAAACAAACAACATGATCGGATGGAACAGGGTGGAATTGTATATACTTTGCTGATTCAATAAGAGGTTAAGTGACCTTATAAGACCCTGCTGGCGTAGGGTTCTTGACATGGCTCTCTGCATGATCCAAGAACTCCAGCTATAGGGATCTATAACAGCTCCCACCGGGCCCAAACCTGGCGGTCACGTGCCCACCTACCGGGACTGGTCCAAGTCGACTGCTTAAAGAGCCCAGAAAAAGACAACATATTACCCAAAGGAGGATTTATCCAGCTCGGGAAAAATCAAACATCACACGAAAACTACAAAACCAAGTCATCCTTCCTGCAGGCACCACGAAAAGCCTAGCGCGCCCCCTTCCTTCACCCATGCGCCTCTCAGGAGAGACTTGGTCAGTGCCTCGAGAGGGGTCAAAGGGACCAGGCGAAATCTCCACCCCTTTTGCAGCACCTCAAGGTGCAGCTGTCTCAGCTGTCTCTCATCCATGTACAGTAAATAAAACGTACCGCACATTGAAAAACAGTGCATTTGCTATAGATGGTTTTTTGACCAAAGAAGTGCTTGTTTTCAAGTTGAGTGGGATGCCAAAATGGAGTCCACTCGCCTGCCACGATTTCAATGACAGGATTCAGATCTTACCATCTTTGTAGCTGCAGCTTTGGCTGTTCGAAACCATTCACCACTTGTGGTGGTGCAAAATTAAGTGCACATTATGTATTCCTTGTTGCTCTGGAACAGTGCAGCCGAGCCTAGGGGTCATGTTTACTCTGCCCAAACCATCCAAGAAATACACATCATCATACATCATCTACTTCGCCAAAAAGAGGTTCTTCACGCCCTAAACATAGGTCATGGCACCACTATGAAGCCATCGTCAAGCTCTTAAGTTGTTTTGCGAGAACATGTGAAAAGAATTGACAAGGAAAATGCTCAGCCCAGGTATTGGTGAATGTCACAGAGTCCCAGTGTATTGGATGCACTGGCCTGCACAAAAGCTCAGCATACATCAACACACTGATCATTGGATCCATTTTTCCAATGCTCCTGGATGGTTTCTTCGAAACCTGAGGGCCCGAGCTCAACATGGTGTGATGTCTCAAATGTAGAGCACGGCGAAGGTCAGAGCGTGGAGCTGGTCAGAACGTTTTCTGTTCAGTTTCATGATTGATCGAGTGAGTGAGTCAGTTCGCCTCACAAGCTGTGGCCAACAAGGGGTCCAGGAGTTGATACTATTATCACGGTCCCCCAGAGAATCAGATCCATAAGGGGCGCTCATTGGTCTGTCAACTGTACATGACATCTGCTTGCTCATCTGTTTGCCTGGTGTTTTGGACGTTGATTTTGGTGTTTTGGACGTCCAGTCTGGTCCTGGTCACTGGTCGTGATGCCCAAAGCATCGATGAGTTGGTAAGTACCAGGTACCATCTACATTGATACCTATTGACTGTGATTACACTTAATTACAGGGGTGTTCCCCCTGTTTAATCAAGACAAACAAACAATCGAACAAGGGGTGCACCAGTGGAAAACCGGGCGACATGGCCTAGAGGCCAGTCCCCAATCCGGGTTTCAAGGACATGGACCTGATGACTTGATGGCACATGACCCGAACCAAAACCAGGCACGACTGGAGCTCCATTTTCTGGGGTACGAATTGAGCCTCCATGTAACTATGTCCTGAGTTATGCCTCAAAGGCTTGCCTGAAGTGCTTGCAAAGTGTGGGGCTCTTTCACGAGCCATGCGATCAAGACATGTTTGATTCAGGCTATTCATTTATATATTATATATATATATATTGTAAAACAATACATATGTCTTTATATGTCTTTATTAATTAAATGAAACGGTTCATGCTTTGACCGGTTTGGGTTGCACTGTAATTCTTGAGCACCACAGCCAACGCATTGCGTCGCAAGGTGGCCGCAGCAGCCGCTCACCCGATCGGGTCAGGTTGGGTGAAAGAAGGGATGACACAAACAGTGACCCCCAAAAGAAATCCCAAACACTCCATGGGACTGGCATATTTACCTACATTGGGGTGGTTGAAACGGGGTCAATGTAGGCAGTCCCATGGAGTGTCTGGGAATGGTAGAATCCTGATGAATCACTCGGATCACCATATGTTCAATCCGAGTCCGGCCACACCACTTCCATGTGACGAATCGAGTCCGGGAGAGCCTCGAAACAGGGAGGGAAAGTGCGTCCGCACGACCCATTCTTTGAGGAAGATCTTTCTCTACCAGCACCCGACTCTACGTCGGTGTTTCCTGTGTTTCCAAGTTCGGTGTCCAGGTTCACCACCTGTGGTCTCCAAGTCCAGCCTGGCCAGGAGGGTCCAGACATCCTTTCTGGAGAATTCTTCTCACTTCCAGTTCTTTCAGGAACTGAACCAGTGAGGGTCTCCATGGTCTCCGGTCGTCTCGAACAGCGTGCTTCGTGTGTTGTGCGAACGTCGGACGGAGAATGGAACGAGAATGGAACGAGAATGGATCCCCAAGGAGAGGGCGATCGGAAAAAGCTTTATGGAAACAACTTTCACTGGACACCTTTACATTGATGAACATATCTGACTCACCTTCACTTTAATTGGACACCTTTACATTGAACATATCTGACTCAGGATGTTCCTCAGCATGTTCCTCCCCGAAAAAGCGCTGTCACTTTGTCTATACATGAGTTTTGAACAATCTTCTCTTTGCATTTGATCATTACAATGTTGTTTCATTGAGCATTGAATCTAAGGCCACTAACAGACCTTTTCCAGTATACAAACATCGGGAAGAAAGCCACCCCAACTCAAAGGAATTGTTTTAGGGAAAGAGGCCCTCAATTTATGTTTCCTGCCATGCATCCAATACTGAGTCTCAGCATCGAGAAGGATGCTTGGGCGCTTGGCTTTTGGATTATCCGCCGACCCCAGCCGATGGGGGAGCGCGCCAGAGAGTATATATTGCTTGATGTTGCGCCGCCCTCAAAATTAAAACGTCATTCTGACAGACGCCCTCAATACATTTAACTAATCAATAATGTAACTGCAGAACCAACAGGACAGTGACTGTCCTTGTACATCTCTCCGTATGTTTGCAACATGACTCAGGGGCATCCAATGGATTTTTAGGCATCTGACTTTTCCAACTCGAAAGAAGACCCCCTTCTATTATACATCATAATACAGTAAATATATAACTCCCTTTCCTTGCTACCTGGCAAGCTCCCACCTTTTTCCGCAACGGTCTCGTCCGCGGCAACTCTTGTGGTGCCTCAACGACTCGCCTGGCTCGAAGAGCGTGTTGCTTCGTGGCACCGAGCAGGTGGCACCGAGCCGGGGCATCTGTGGATGAATGGTGCGTCTCGATCTGTGTGGTGTGTCCCAGACACTCCAGCACGGACGACAGCATATATGATTCTATACGACTCCGACGGGTCGTTGTAAGTCGTTGCTCACCTGGTCTGACTATGACTCCAAAACCTTGAAAGACTTGTTTGCTCAACTTCTTCGCCCAAAGAATGGCACGGGCACCAATGAGTTGAGGTGGTGGGGGTCGCCGGGTCGCCGGGTCGGCGGATCGGCAAAGCCCGTCTGCCCGTCCGACGGTTGGTGTGGTTTGGTGCATATCCTCCCACACGCGACCTGGGACTGCAGTATACTGCAGTCCTATGACCTGCATGATTGGTGGTTTGGGGGCAGGCCTCTGCTAGGTAGGCCTGTCAGGGACTGCGTTTTTTTGCGTTTCGCATCGCATCTGGGCATGATGGGCCAGGGCCATATGATTCTCGGCAAGCAAGTTGACATGTGTTGTACAAAGTGAGCCGGTTCGGATGCTACAGACTGAACATGGCAACTGTTCCTCTACAACCCGACGTGGTTTTCGGGTTCCATATATGGTTCCATGTTCATCTTCCAGGGTGTAGGTCATTCCATGTCTACATCCTCTCAATCCGAGTCTCAGGGCCCCTCTTTTGGGCACTGATGCGCCTTTTCCCCGGGATCAAGGAAGGATCAAATCTCAAGGACTCAAGGCGGATGGTTGGTGCCTATCTCCCAAACCGGGCTCCCTCGTTCTTCCAAGTGACCGAACTTCATATCATGGTTTCAGTTTCAGGTCACAAAAGGGCCTGTATGGAGTGTCTGGAACAAGGTTGTGGAGAGTCTTTTTCAGACCTGGTGGACTAGAAAGAACGTCGTCTCCCCCAGATCTGCTGGCTCGAAACGATTACAGACCTGCACCATCAAAACAAACAAAACGGACATGTTCCATACATCTTTCCTATGCAACCTGACCCCCCAAAAAGTTGGAATCCGCCTCGAAGTTCCATCCACACCGCCCAACTTCCATCCCGCGACCACCACCAAAAAAAACACCCAAAAGTGCCCACGCCTGGCGTCGGTGCCTGTCAGCCTCAAAGTTTTCCACGGTTTTCACTGGGCGAGGAGACGCCTGGAGTGGACCGGGGGCAGGCTGCGCAGGCTGCGCAGGTGAGGTGAGGTGAGGTGAGGTGGAAAAAGAGGGAAAATTCCATAGGACTGGGGAAGACTGACCTAATATATTGGCCCTACCAAACAACCTTGGCACGATGACCCGTTTGTGCAACATGCTCGGTTCTTCACCATTGAAACGTTTTGACACGAAGAACACCGCGTGACGCGGCACCTGGTTCTTCAAAGCGACCAAATTTGCTCCTTGGTTTGGGGTCACAAAAGGGCCCGTAAAAGGTCAGTTAGGCCGGGAATGATGGGACCCCCCAAAAGATCAGAGTGAAAAGGCTAGTATGGAAGATGTGCGCTCAATTACCATCAATATATATATAATATATATATATATACCTGGACCTTCCAACTACCAAAAAAATATGGTCGTTTTGGTTTTATGGTCGTTTTCGTCGTTTTGTTTGTTTTGCGTTATTTTGCGGATTTTTGTGGTCGTTTGCTGGTTTTTTTTGCGCGCGTTTTGTGCTAATTTGCGGTCGTTTTGTCGGTTGCGCTGATTTGCTGGCGTTTGCGCGGAAAACCGGGTCAATAACCAAAACTACCAGAATTGTTTGGTCGTTGGAAGATCCAGGTATACATATATAATCAAAAGGGAGTAGTTCTTTTCTTTATGCTCACAGTTCTTTTCTGTATGCTGCAGGATGGGGTGTGCTTTTTATGCGTCAGGTTCTTTTTCATTTGCGGCTGGTTCCCTTTTATATGCGGGCCCATTTCGTTTCGTATGCGCACGGTTTCTTTCCGTATGCGTGGCGCGACGGTTCACCAAGTGCTAGGAGGCCCTTTAGAAGAGGATTCTGTGCTACGACAGCCTTTAGAAGAGGAATCTGTGCTACGAGAGCCTTTAGAAGAGGATTCTGTGCTACAAGAGCCTTTGGAAGAGCATTCTGTGCTACTACGACAGACTTTAGAAGAGGAATCTGTGCTACGAGAGCCTTTAGAAGAGGAATCTGTGCTACAAGAGCCCTTAGAAAAGCGAGCCTTGCATTCTGTGCTACGAGAGCCTTTAGAAGAGGAATCTGTGCTACGCGAGCCTTTACACAAGGACTCTGTGCTACGAGGGCCTTTAGAAGAAGAATCTGTGCTACGAGAGCCTCTCACTCAACTACATCCTCCATTACAACCTCCGCCTGCCACGGTGCACCTGCCACGAAATCTGCGCATCGAGGGTCACAGAGTGCTGCGCATGCCACGAAACATACACTTCGAGGTTCACAAATTGCTGCGCCTGCCACGAAATCTGCACATCGAGGGTCACAGAGTGCTGTCCAGCCCAGCAACAAAAACAACTGCAACCTCTCTAGTCTTGCCAGTTCCTTGGCCATGTGCAGAAGTGTACACTTTCCAGTCCCAGGAGAAATTCAACCCAAAAGTGCCCAGTCATCCTTTTATGGCTTTGGCAAATTGACTTTTCAAAGGCTTTGCAGCCTTCAAGGCTTGCAATGCCACTGTCATCGCATTGCCACACTCAGCCCTGGCCATCTTGTCCTTCTTCAGCAAAGCCAGAAGCTTGCTCAAGGCCCCGGCAATGAACAGAACCAGCTAAAACATTTCAGCCAAGCCTTGTATAGGTGGTTGGTTGGGGCTTTCCAGCCCAAACTCTACAGCTTTGGGGTAATTAAGAAGCAACCCAAAAAGACAGGATGATGGCTGGATGGGTGC